CCACAGAGGTTGAAATCAGAGGGAACAAGGAACCATGGGCCAGGCACAGCAGGGGAGACCCATAGGCTGATTCTGAACTCAGGGGAAGCTGATAGCTCTCACTCCCTGTTGGTGTCCTGCCCACCTGCAGGCCAGGGAGCAGGTGGCCCAGCAAGGTGAATGCTGCTCTCAGAGTAAAATTCACCATGCATCATGGTTACATGGGCAGTTGAGTTGTCCTAGTCAAAGTAGTTTTGTTGCCTAAAGTCATATTGTAAGCTGAACTGAGGGACATTGAACCTACGAGAATAAAAGGTTAGTTTCCTGGGAGCCTCTGGTCATGACATTTCCATCAACTGATCAACACATTACCTTATTTTCTGTGTATTTCTTTTGGAAGACATCTTGTTTAAAGTATATTATTGGTTCACTGACATTCAACTCACTGTAGCTCAGATTCATCTGACACATTTTCTTTGCATGTCATAGCCTGTGCTCAGGGAACACCAGACAGCCCTTCAGCTCTGTGCTGAGGGCATTTTAGACAACAAAATTAACAAAATTCACAGACATACAAAAAACAAAAACAAAGCAAAGCGAACGTGACTCTGAAGCCAGCACAGAAGGACACCTGTTTACCATCCGAGAGCGGAAACAGAAGGTGACACATCACCTCGCTCTTCCTCAGAGGGGAGCCTGTATGTCAGGCCACCCACATCTGCCATCTGCAGAAGTTTGTAAATTGACCTAGAAGACATTAGGAGCCTTGACTGGGAGTTACAGTTGTTCTTCTTTTTTTTTTTTTTAAAAGTCAACTTTTACTTATGTTTATGTGCGTTTGTCTGTGCTAACATGTGCCACATGTGTGTTGTGCCTGAGGAGGCCTGGAGAGGGCGTTGGAAGCAGAGCTACAGGTAGTTTTGAGCCAACAGGAAGGACATGACTGTTGAGAATCTAACTTGGGTCTTCTGAGCCGTCTCTCCTACCTGCCTGAGAAGTAGGTCATAGTGACGATGTGTTCACAAGGATGCAGTCCCACAGTAGTAGTGGCCCTGCCATCTTAGATGTCCATCCACCTCAGGGAATCTTGCTGCTTGCTACCAGCCTTTACTTGTGAAGAAAGGTGGAAGTCCAGGACCTGGCAGACTCTTGTGGTTGCTTGTCATCAAAGATGTTGAAGACAGGCGACCAATCCTCTCATCTCCCTCCTGCAGCTTCTTCCAGAAGGTCCTGCTTCCTACTGGACAGTGCCTATTTCCTCTCTCTGAAAGCAAAGAGGGACCAGGTCTTCACACACTTGGGTGACCACAGGCCAGTATCCGCCTAGAACAGAATTAGCCCTTGCTACAAGCTGTTGAGGGAAGGCTTTCAGCCAGAGGAGTGGTCTTCCCAAGGTGTTCAGGCCACACTGGAGTCCCCAGAGCCCAGGCTCACAGCTGTCTTCCCAAAAATGCCTTGTGGACGCCTAGTAAAAGTTCATGGGTCTCCAGATTGTGCCTCCTCCTACTCCAGGGCTCAGTAGCTTGCTTTGAGAGTGGCTGCTGGCAAGGGCCTTCCCTCCTGGGTCTGCCCCAGCAAACTGTTCCTTTCCTACTCTTTTTCTCCTAGGATTGGGTGTCAATCCTTAGTATCCTCCTGGGCCCCTAAGGAGGACCTAAGGGGACACGAGTGTCCTCTCAGAAGTAGGCATTGGGCAGGACTGGGTGACCATTCCTGTGTCCTTCAAGAGGAACAGCTCCCCTTGGCCCAGGGGTAGGGCTGCCCTGTGGTCAGGCCCACGCTTATCTCCTGAGGATGGCACACACTTCCTCTTCTCTGCCCAAGGCTATAATTGCTTTTCTTGCCACTTTGTAAGAACTGACTCTTCACTTGCATTTTTATTTCAATGAGGGAGAAAAACCAAACATTTTTTGCAATTAGACTTTTCCTCACTTGGGTAATCACACTGAAAAAAAGCATTTAAGTCTTTTGAAAACCGCACATCAGTGAGGCTGGCGGAGTGGATGGTGGGGAGGCACATTCCATCAGCAGGGCCAGCCAGACACGCTGGCGATTCGGTGGGCTATAGCACAAGGAAACAATGATTTCACATTTATTTGGGGTTTGCTGTTTGCAGCATATTTCAATTAGCTCGTCAGTGTTGTGCATCTGACAGGCCAAACGTTTATTGTGGTTGGACCATCTGGGAGGTGGGAGGCCTACAGTCTTCCCTGTGGCAGTCAGTAACTACCAGTCTAAGGAAATTTGTTTGATGTGTTTAAGAACCCAACACTAAAACACCATTAATAACAAAAGCCTCCAGAGTTCCGAAAGCACTCTCCCTTGCTCAGCCGTCAATTGGACATGCATCACCTGAGACTTCCTTTCCCCAATGCTTGACATTTTCCAGCACAGTGTAGCAAGGTCCTGAAGTAGCTCATTTAATTGGCCTGAGCATGATTTGTGTTAAGGTAGTGAAGAGCTTGCTAATTTACACTGGGCGCCACAGAGCCTGAGCATTGGCTGCTTGGGGTAGCAAGGGATTTGTGTCACGGATTCCTGCCATTAGCAAGCGGCCGAGCTTGTGGCTGTAGAGTGACTGAGAGCTCTAGACTGATGCCAGTTCCCAGCCTTGGTGACTCACAGAGTGTCGTGAGTTCGTGGTTCTGACCCTGATCTGTGCTGTTTGTCCTGCACTCCTTGGGTAGCAGGGCATCACGTTTCCTGGCCTCACTCACCTTTTTCGTTGCACCTTGGTTATTCCCACCCCACCACATCCTGTCCTGAAGAATGTTCTGTCTGACTTTCCAGTGGGAGGCCAGGGGAGAGAAGGAATTTAGAATCAGATAGGAGAGTCAGAAGGAGCCCTGGGAAAATGCAAGAGTTCCACCTTTCTACACAGAGCAGTGACATTCCTTGTCCCAGAAACCCTGGGATCATAGGGCTGGGCACAGGACAGGGAGAGTGGGATTAGCACTCAAGGACTGAACTAGAGATCAGCTCATAAAACCGGAAATGTCTTGTTCACTAGAGGCTGTGCTGGTGGCCTGGGGTAGTGTGTCTGCTACTTGGGTACAAGCTGGTAGCATCCTGCCCATATCCCACAAAGTTACCCTGGGCTCTAGATTGCCTGCTACAAGAGCCCTCGAGGAGGCTGCTCTTCTTTCTCCTGGGAACCTCCCAACCACAGGGCACCCCAAGTCTTACACACACCACCTCCACCTTCACTGCACATGTTTCGAGGGGCTGTAGCTTGATTGTCTTGGGGCCATCAGTGCCTGGCAGAGTGGCTTGGTGCTGACTTGGTGTCTTGGGCCTTTCTGAGAGGCAGAGGTAAGGAGCTGCCTGCCACTTGCCTCTGTGTTGTGCTTCAGAACTGCAGGAAGGGACCAAGCTAGTCCCTTTGTGCTTTACCAGTGCTGTTTCCCAGATGGGGACCCTGTGACTCCCGGAGGTCTTGATTTAAACCCCAGCACTCAGTACATTAGCTACTGGTTCGGATTCCAGGCCCCTGGAGGTTCCTGATTCCTCGTGTGCCTGTTGGTGTTGAGTCACATTGCTGAAGTGACCAGTCTGTGAGTTATGCTGCTGTTGTTTTAATCCCTTAGCGTTTCCTGATCTGGTTGTGTCTAAATGGTAGAGAATCTAGAAGTTTGAGTTTGTGTTGTGCCCCCCCCCCTTTTTATTTGTTCTAGTGGGAAATAGAATTCCTCTCCTGTTTGTTTCGAAGCGTTTGCTTTCCAAAAAGAGGCCAAAGGGCTCCGAAGACTGACAGATTCCCTGAGATAGCATCACATGCCCTCGGTCCTGTCCATTTATGGAGTTTTGAGGCCAAATTCTGATCCCGTTGTCCAGTCCTCTAGCCATGCACCCCTGGAGGTCAGAGGTCAGGCACAGGGGTGTAAGCCTGGAGCTCCTGGGAGGTGAGGTAATTGGGAGCAGGTGGTTTTTTGTTTGTTTATGTTTTGCTTTTTTGTTTTTTCTACCCTGAAGAGAAAACACAGTAGGCCAAGGGATCCTGATATGTGGCTTTCCTTCTGCAGCAGGATGAGGTGGGACTTTGTCAAAGTTCTGAGTAAGGTGGGGCTTGTTCAGGAGGGGAGGCCACACCTCTGGAGCCAGGCTCCTCTATCCCCATCATTCTCTCTTCTTGGTCTCAGAGAAAGCTTTGGACCCAGGGTTTTGTGAAGATGGAAGGGGAAGCCAGCCAGGAGAGGAGGCAGAGGCTAGACCCAGCTTTTTGGCGGCTGTTGAAATGAGGTGGTCAGGGTCTGTGGCTGAGAAACAGAAGGCGACATGGTAGGCCCAGTTTGGAGCCTTGGACTCAAGCCCTGTGTTGTTTAGCTTTTTGTCAATTTGACACAAGCTAGAGTCAGCTGAAAAGAAAGAATTTCAATTGAGGACTTACCTCCCATCAGACTGGCCTATAGGCAAGTCAGGGTGGGGGCCATTTTCCGGTGAAGGGCCAGCTCACTGAGAGCAGTGCCGTCCCTGGGTAGGTGGTCCCAGGATATAAGAAAGCTAGCAGAGCAAGCCTGTAAGTAGCGTTCCTCCATGGCTTTTGCTTCAGTTCCTGCCTCCATGTTCCTGCTTGAATTCTGCCCTGAATTCTTTCCTGAAGAACTGCAAGCTCTAGGTGGAAATAACCCTTTCCCTCTGTCTTTGTCACTGGTCTATTGCTGTAAAGAGACACCATGATCAAGGCAACTATTTTAAGAGAAAACATTGCATTTGGGGTTTGTTTACAGTTTACTGTCATGGTGAGGAGTGTGGAGATATGCAGGCAGGCAGGTGCTGGAACAGTGGGTGAGAGCTACATCCTGATCTGTAAGCAGAGACAGAGGCTCTGGGCTTGACATTCAAAAGTATCCCAGTGAAACTCTTCCTCCAACTAGGCCACACCTCCTAATCCTTCTAATCCTTTTAAATAGTGCCACTTCCTGGCGACTAAATGTTCAAATATGAGCCTTTGGGGACCATTCTTATTCAAACCACCACACTCCCCAAGTTGCTTTTGGTCATGGTATATATCACAGCAATAGAAAACAAATGAAGACAGGCCCCTTGGGCAGGGGTTGGATGTTTCCCTGGCTGCCCAGGCAGTGAGTTTAGAGCTCAGAACCTATTTAGGGTGCAGACGCCCTATTAAGGCTTTCCTGATCATCCAAAGTCACACTTGCATTGCTGGCCTCTTGGTTTAGCTCTTGGGGCCTAAGTGTCCAGTCAGATAGGACAGGCTGATTTATTACTCTTGGAGTTCCCTCCAGAGTGCCAGAGCTGGTTCTGAACTTGGAGAAGAGATTTAGTTAAATCTCTGAGTGACATCTTGGGGGACCTATTAGGGGTTGTTGGAGTAACAAGTTATACATGAAGAAACAGAGGCAGTGAGGACCCCTGGAAAGAAAGCCACACTAGGGTCTTGGGACTGGGCTGCACCTGTTCTCCCCTCCTAAACTGTGAATTACCAGCTTCCTTTTTTTCCACTTATATCTTGATAGAGCACTTAAAACAATCCAGGATTCAGCCTTGGACACAGAGAAGGAGTGGGATCCAGCATAAGGCAGTGCTGTGTAGAGCTCAAGAAAGGGCCTGGAAGAAAGCAGAAGAGAGGCAGTAGTTACCCTCCACACATGCACATGGAGAGTATGGCAGTGTGAGGGTCCTCTTTTTGACTCAGGTGTGCTGTGTAGCTACAGTCTTTCATTTGGCTTGATCACTACTGGGTCCTGACTCAGTGATCAAGTCCAATAAAAGACCGTAGATCTTTCTGAGATCATAGCTACTCACTTTCCCTTATTTCGGGAGTGGGGATGCCCAGGGTGTACTGCTGTTTATGGTGTTCACAAACCTTCAGGGATCCTCACAGGTCCCTCTCCACTGGAAAGTTCACTTGGGAGGTGGTGCTCTATAGTGGGATAGCTGCCACCCTCTGCCCATTGAGACTTCTCCACGGTGCGTCTTTTCGTGAGTTGTCCGTGTGGCAGGTGTGACTCAGTGGCATCGCTGAGTGGACCTTCTCACTGGTGCTGCCTCTGAGTCACCCATGATCTTGTAAATAACCTAGTGTTGCATTGGTTCACTAAGCTGGATCGCGTGGGGTCCTTTGGCACCTCTCTGTGTGGGGAGAATGGATGTCTCTTTACATTGCTCCAGGGAAAGTCATGTGATGAAGCATGGTGGTATTCAGAGTCTGAAAAACGAAACACTTCTGAATTGTACAACTTGGTGGCATTTAACACATTCACAGTGGCATGCATCTACCCTCTTTCTAGAACACTCTAGAACATTCTAGAACACTCTGCCCCTCAAAAAGGGTACCCCATACCCATTGGCAGTCCCCATCCTCCTCCAGCTCCTTGGCAACAACGAACGGGCTTTTATTTCTATAGTCACCTATTCCAGACATCTTCTGTAAACAGAGTCCCATGTGTGACCTTTGTCTGGCGTCTTCGTCACTCAACATCCATGTTTTTAGCGCCCGCAGGTTATGCATATGTCATTCCTTTTTGCCTGTAATAGAATACACATGGCATAGAGTCCATTACTTAGACCGTTTTGAGTGTAGTTTAAAGCCTTAAGTATACTAGGTGGCTGTGCAACCATCCCCACCATCCATCCACAGAACTCTTGCATCTTCCCCTGCGGAAACTCTGGCTCCATTAAACATCCCCCTCCTCCTTCTCAGCCCCTGGCAACCATTCTACTTCCTGCTGTTATGGATTTAATTCTGTATGGATGTCGTATTGGTGGCATCATACCTCACTTGGTGTCATGGCTGCCTGCCTTTTAGGGGTGAATGGCATTGTGAGGATAGGCCACATTTTGTTTGGTTGTTTCTGGGTCAGGGAAGTTTTGACTTTGGTTTGTTTCTAGTTGAAAAATGATACTGGACCAGATGGCTGAAAGCCAAAGGTGGGGTGGTCTTTGGCAATCATACCTCCCTGTGCCTTGGCGTCTGTATTCACCTCTGAGGATGCTGGGCAGGCGATGGTCTGTGAGGGTGGCTTTGTCCATACACAGTCATCACAGTTGGGTGTATACTGGGTTTTCAGGTCACAGGTCTGACTATTGGTAGGTCTCAGTCTCACAGTCAGGGCATTCTGGAGGGGCTCACCTGTGACGTGGACCTCGGGAGCCTCCTTCCCTTACTGAGGACTTGGAGCAGGTGTCCTGGCTCTCAGTAGCCTGTTTTCACTGCTTCCCACTAGATAATGATAGGGAACAATGGGGACACATAACCTCTGGGTCACTGTCCTTGGGTACTCTAGGAAAGGTAGCCAGGAGAATGACATGACATCACCAGTCTCCAGGGTAGCTGAGTGAGAACAGGAAGTAAGTCTGGAATTCCCAAACTCACACTTGCTTTCATTACACTAATTAACTTTCCATGTGCCTGAGGAGCAAGTAACCTGGGAAGTCCATTATCAGTGGTCAGTGAGGCCAGTTGTGTTTCCCATTCATGATTAAGGATACTTAATGATTAACTCAAACCATGAGAAATGGTTAGTTGTATTCACCATGCTCTACTGGAGAATTTTAAGGCTGTTGTAGATTTGCCATAACATAGTCATGCTAGGAATCCATGTTAGAGACTGCAGAGAAGCTGGGAGGGCAGCTCTGTCCAAGGTCACACAGCTGGAGATGCAGGTCGAGCTTGAGGAAGGATGCATCCAAGAGAGGAGCAAGTGGCTTTTCTTTAGTCCTAGGTTACATTTGTATTTCTTTTCCTAGTTTTAAAAGCTTTCGGGGCAGGAGAGATGGTTAGTGGTTAAGAGCATCGATTCTCAGCATCCACATCAGGTGCGGCAGGAGGATCAGCCACCTCTGCCTCCTTGGACACCTACAGTTACGTTTTACCTACATTACCCGCCCCCACACACAGACACACAATTAAGATAAATCTAAGTAGTATATGTTCATGGTAAGGTAACAAAGACTATTTAAAGTCAGATAATTTTACAAAGTCTGTCACTAGATGAAGTGTGTCTGTTTCAGAGAGATCCGCGATATAGGACATTGCAGGTGAATCTTGAGGTCGCTGTGCTAAGGGAAGTACGTGAGTCACAAAGTTACTGCATGATTCTACCATGGCCAGGCACTGAGAGAGGCCAGGCTTGGTGGTTGTAGATGGGAGGTGGGGTGGGGGTGATGGAGAGGCGTTCATAACAGGCAGAAAGCTTTGATGGCATGGAACCTGAAGTCTGTAACGTATCACTCATATGAAAATCTAAGGAGCAGAACCCTTGGGAAGTAGCCTCACTCTAAGAGTGTTTTCAGTCACTTAAAATAGGCTTTAAATCGGGCTGGAGAGAGAGCTCAGCAATAAGAGTACTGGTTGTTCTTCCAGAGGACCAAGGTTTAATTCCTAGAGCCCACATGGTGACTTGTAACCACCTGTAACTCCAGGCCCAGGAGATCTGATGTCCTCTACTAGCCTCTGAGCACACCAGGCATGTGCATAGTGCATAGACATACATTAGGCAAAATGCTCATACACATAAGATAAAATTAAAGCTTAATAAATAAATAAAATGGCTTTAGATAATCAACTAGCTTTAGAATACATAAATGAAAAGTCGTATTCCCTGGTTATAAACATTTAAAAAGGAACTTTCCTTCCTTGCAGTGCTGAGGACTGAGAAGGACACCGGTCATGCTGGGCAAGCATTGTACTGCTGAGCTTTATGCCCACCCCTGCTTGGTTTTTAGGGACACCCAAAGCTGTTTGTTGGTTTGCTGGTGTTCCTGTCACTTGCAGAGGTTCTGTGCTCTTCCTACATGTCTCTGTTTCACCTCTGGAGTTTCCTGTGTGTGTGTGAGGTGCTGACTGATGTGGCGGTGTGCAGTGAGGCCACACAAACAGCTGCTTCATGTGGGAATGTCCATCACAGAGGTTTCCAGGCTAGTCCACTACTGCAGCATACCGTTTTTCAGTCCCGCCAAGTGGATACTGTGTGCTTTCTGTGGTGTTTGCTTTACACCATGCCCTCAATTTACCACACAGCTACTCTTTGAAGTCAGCCTATTGTAGAGAAGAGAATGCTGAAGCCAAGGAGAAGGGCGTGTCCTCAAGTTCCACGCCTCCTGTCTCAGATGCTGGCCACCTGGCACTGAGCTCTGTACTTCCTTACCTAGTGCTTAAGACAGCTTACCAACTCATGCACCCATTCTGGGGTTGAGCAGATCTGGGGTTACCTGCTGAGTAACTTATTGGGAATCCTTTCAGGTGGCATCGGACTTGAACATTGTGTGAACTATGTCGGATGAGATCTGACCTGAGCATTGTGTGAGCTATGCTGGGTGAGAAGCCTGTCAGAGTGCCTCTGGGGAGAGAGTGCATTCATTGTCAAGGCTGAGAGGAGCTCCTTCAGCTGGCCTGCTGGGAAGGGGAGTGTGCCTGCACAAAAGTGAGAACTTCAGTGACTGCAGGCCTTCCGGGGCCACCCACACAGAGCCCATTAGCTCAGGACCTTACCTGAGCTCCTCTCCTGGATGAGCTGAGTGTACTGTGACCCTTCTAATGGCCTAAGGGCCACTCTTACTGAGATCTTGGTCCCCAAGCTTTTCAGAGTCCCACGCAGCTGGAACTGGACAGACAGGGCTTTCATCAGGTAGAGGTTCTATTTTTAGCCTCACTGCCTGTGTCACGCTGTCACTATGGAGATATCAGCTGGTGACCCATAAGGGATGCATGCCTCCACTATCTGTAAGGAAAGGGGGTCCTACTTCCTCCTGGGACTTCTCAGTCAGAACCTTAGTCTGCATGAGCATTCTTTCTCTCTCTCTCTCTCTCTGTCTCTCTCTGTCTCTCTCTCTCTCTCTCTCTCTCTCTCTCTCTCTCTCTCTCTCAGGAAGAGGAAGGGAGAGAGACAGAAAGCACTTGCACACCATAAACAGGGGCAGAGTAATGGCAGCAGGGCTGTCTCTGGGGTGTGGCCTGTGTGTAGGCAGTGCCCGCGGCTGTCTTTTGTATTGGTTGGACTTGTCTAGGAGAGTAGGGACCCCATATGAGGGGTGCCATTTGAATTTGGGGGTCACTTTATCTCTTTATATCTTCATGTCTTCACAATAAGGATACATACCCTTCCTGCTTGGATCTGGTGACATGATTGGGGAAACTGAGTTTATGGTGAGGGATGAGTGTCATATGGCTGTGTGTGAGAGCATGAGCATGTATGTCTGTGGTATGTGTGTATGTGTGTTGCTAAGGTTTTCCTCAGGAGAACATCTAGATTCCCCTTCTCTTTGTTTTTCTTTTATTTTGTCATTTTCATCTGAAGGCAGAGAGAAGATTTGAGGAGATAATATTCTAACCCTTTTCGTGCTTGTCGTGAAAGGAAATGCAAGGAAGGAGGAAACAGCCTCATCCTGTACACTTTTTGACAAGACTCTAGCGTCAGTCACAGCCCTGCTCCAGTGGAATGTGACACTTGCCACATGAGCTCTATAACTGACGCGTAGAGAGGTTAAAGTCTTTGTCCAGAGTCATGCAGCCAGTGAGCCCTAAAGCAGGAACCTGAAGTGAGTCTTCCTGACTACACCAACATTGTCCTTTGCTGAGTGGTTACCTGGCCACCGTAGGCCACAGGGTCACATCCTGTGGGTTGTATCTGTTCAGAGTCTTGGGCTTGTCTATGATCTTAAACCTTTAAAAAGAGAGTAAAACAACTGTTAGAGAGGATGTTGAGGGGCTGGCGGGATGTAAGATGCTGCAGCAACCGTGGAGAACAGTCCAGTAGCCCCTTGGATGGTTATCTGCAGTTACGCCATGGCCAGTAGGCCCGCTGCATAGGCTGCCCCTTGAGAGAGGGAAAAGCAAAGGCTGCAGCTTCTCCCCAGTGCTCACAGCAGGACCGTAGGTCAGAGCCGAAAGGTAGAACAGCTCAGATTTCCAGCACCAGATAAACAGACATGGTCCGTGCATACAGTGGAGCATTTAGCCATAAAAAGAAATGAAGTGTTAACACACCACAGGGATGAAGCTTTGAAAGTCTCTGCTAAGTGAAAGAGGACAGACAGCCACATGAGGTCAATACCATGTGATGTCACTCACTGTCAGCCCCCAGACTAGACATGGAAAGGAGAATGGTAGTTAGCAGGGCTTGGTGTGGAGGGAGCTGGGAGCTGTTGTTCAATGGGATGATGAGATGCTCTAGTGTAGAACCTTGTGCTTGCAGTAAACTCTGATGGACTGTAAACTTGAAATAGTGAATTGGCGAAAGGAAGAAAGAAAGACAGACAGACAGAAAGGAAGAAAGAAAGAAAGAAAGAAAGAAAGAGAAAGGAAGAAAGAGAGCAAATAGAAATCTCAAGCTTGTGCACTTGGCACAGATATTCCTAGAACCGCCAGTGCTCATAGGGCTAGATGATGCCTCACTGTGTTTATGGAGGCATGGGGGCAGTGCTCACATCTGTGGTCTGCCTGAGACCTCCTGCACAGCAGGGCCCCAGGTTCTTCTGCAAGGGCAGTCCTGGCAGTTAACAGCCTCGTGCACGTGTGAACAACATCTGCCTCTGTGGAGCACTTCTGCACCTGACGTTGGGCATGTCCTTTTATGGCTCTCATTTGCTCTCTGCAAGTGGAAAGATAAATACCTTTTCAAAGAGCAGATGCCAGCTGCCCACGGTCCCTGCCTGGGTCCCCAGCTGCAGAGTGGGTGGGAGATAGCACTGCTGGGGGCACAGAATGCTGGCTGGGACATTGGATGTGGGTGATATAGACAGCTTAGGGAATCTTGCTGTGGACCTACTGGGGAATCTTGAGCGGGGTCTTGTGCTCCCTCAGAATCTTTGTGTTCTCTTCCTGCTTCTGGCTGGGCCTAAGGCTTCAAGGAGCAAGTGTGCAAGTAGCCAGCTGGGCCTACCCAGGCCACTAATTTTTCTGTAAATGATGACAGTCAACTGAGTCTTCTTTTCTCATTAGAACCCCAAGTCCAGGGAAGATAAGACTGGCAGCAGGGAGAGAACCATTGATCATGGCAGGGGATGGGTCACCATGTGGAACCAAACGCTGTCTCTTAGAGCCCCTAGAGGGCGAACTACAGAGGCTAATCTCTCTTGTATTGTTTTTGTTGTTGTTTTCAAGACAGGGTTTCTCTGTGTAGCCTTGGCTGTCCTGGAACTCACACTGTAGACCAAGCTGTCCTCGAACTCACTGAGATCCACCTGTCTCTGCTTCCCAAGTGCTGAGATTATGGGCATGTGCCACCACGACCCGGCTCTCTCTTGTGTCTTTTTGGTAGTATCTCAGGGCATCATTACTAAGTA